TATCTGACTAAGATGCATTCTAAAATTTAAAACCCACCAGCTCAGCTGAGAAAAATCCGGAAAAATATGTCGGAAAAAGACATTATTTTTATTTTCATGATTGGTGAAAATTAGGGTCGGCGGAATCGTAAACCAAGTGAAAAAAAAACTTTGGCCTTAGTGAAATTGGTTGAATACTGATTTACATGTGGAGAGTAGTTGGTCTCCTTAATGCAGTAATAATACATTTGGTCTTCCTTATGCATACTGCATATTATATAAATTTAATGACTGACATGTATGAGGGTTGATCCAAAAGTTTGTTGAATTTCTTCATATTTTATTTATTTATTAGTGAAAGTGGTTAAATACTGATTTAGATGTGGATAGTAGTTGGTCTCCTTAATGCAGTAATAATACATTTGGTCTCCCTTATGCATACTGTATATTAATATAAATTTAATGACTGACATGTACGAGGGTTGATCCGAAAGTTCATGGAATTTCTTCATTTTTTATTTATTTGTTAGTGTAAGTGGTTGAAAATTATAGATAAGAATTATATAGACACTTGTTGAATTTTTTTAATAAACAATATTTTAAATATTTATGATAGTAACTCTATGGCAGTTGCCATAGCAAAGGATGTTTGAAAATGCAGGGGAGATATTTACTCGTTCATTATCATTTTAATTCTTAATACGTGAAATAAGAAAAATCCTGCACTAAGTGGCAAATAAAATGAAAATTTTGTCATAATTACGATTGCTTGACCACTAATATACCTTTCTGTGAGAGTTTTACTGATTTAACTTGATATTTAGATTATTAGTTGATGATTTCTTGTTCATATTTTAATTGTTAGAGAACATCACATTTTGGTCAAGTTATAAGTTTTGTTAAAATCTTGGGAACACTCTGACTTAAAGGGGTATACTACTGATACAGGCTGGAGAAAAATGCATTAAGCAACTGATTTACCAGTGGCATTAGAAATTTAAGAAAAACAGAACTTCCATGGAGGTTGATTAAAGGTGTGGCCGCCCTTTTGGAGGGTCTGTTTTTCTCATAGACAAATTAAGCGTTGATGGACGTTGACCGCTGACGTACTGTGCTTGACTTTGCTTCTGAAATTGGAACACCATATGCAAAGATGGGGAGTATTTTTGAAATATGAGTGTAATATTAAGATAAGTTGATCCATGTGAGAGGATACCAAGGCTTTTCTTGAGAGAGAAAAGGAGAAAAAGGCAGAATATTCTGTAGAATTACTTAGTCGAATTGAACATGAGGGTGAGATGCTCCTATAACGCTCCTATAATGTGACATGACATACTTAACTTGACGTTACGTAGAAGTCTCCCCCTGATTTTACAACTATCAATGTTCAGAAAGCTCGTGTGACCTTATTGGTAATTGGAACATGGTGAAAATTTCCAGTATTGTTGCATAAAGACTCCATATTATAAATATGCCTATTGTTTGCTTTCATCAAATCACAATAAAATTTTAGAGATAATTAAATTTCACAAACTTTTGGATCAACCGTCGTATTAGAAAAAAGATGGATCTATTAGATTGAACAGGTTATAATTCACCTGAGTCATTTAAATTACTTATTGCTATCTGTGTTTGTTCAGTCATCATGTTTCAAGTGTTGTCTGTAAACTATTGAACATTTTCAGCTTCTTTTCTGGAACCAGTTTCAACTAATTTCTCAGTTGAAGTATACAGACATAATATAGAAGTGATTTTATTGACTTTCTCAATCTATCCTGAATTTAAAAATGTAAATATAAGCATTTGATTGTAAATATTGAACATTTAGCATCTCATAACCAGAGTTGGAAATTACTGACTGCACGAGGTAGTCTGTTTTTCAGGTAGGCAGGGACAAACTTTAGATTAACCTCGGTGGTCGAGGTCATTTAAACAGCTAGTTCCTGTTTTCCTTTTTTTTTTTCAGGGTATAGTAAGTCTATAGAAAATAAGTAAAATATAGTATATCAAAGGAACACTTCTAGTTAAAAATTTGAGTTGACCTTAGGACCAATATTGGTTTCAGTCTTTAGAAAAAGCTTATCGATGTATGTTCCGATCACTGACTTTAGGCCACATGTGTGTAGTTTCTTGTTTCTCATGTATTGCTTTAGTTCTACGTTAATGGTAATCTAACAACCAAGCTTTATGACAAATGAGATGGCTTTAACTTTTCAATTGTCAACTTCCCTTACTTATTTAGCAATATACCTTCATCACCTGCATACAGGGTTTATATCTCTCAGTTGATTTGATACGAAAGAGCATCCTCTATGTTTGAAATTTTTTTAAAACGAGGTAAGTTATTGACAAACAAGTTGCTGAAACAAGAATATCAGCAGTCTTGTTTAAAGTTATCATTTTGTAAATTCTATGGTCGATACAATGACCTTGTCAGCAAATACAATTTATCATTAAGTCAAATGCTGAGTGACGTTTTTCATACTTATTGTTAGGCCATTATTTACACACTGAATTATCGATGGATTTTTCCATTGTTTCCCAGTTGTGACAAGGAGCACATGGCGTGTGTGACCGGTCTGCAGGGGATGCTTACTCCTCCATGGCACCTGATCCCACCTCTGATGTTTTGGAGGTCCGTGTTTGCTCTGCTCCTATTTTGTATTTTTTGATGGGCTTTTGAGCTTGAATACTGTTTGTTATCTCGATATATTTCATTCTAGTCAACTGTGTGTTCATATGATCCTACCTCAGTATTTACAGAATTATACATCCTTTGTATGAGGGTCATTCTTGATGTCTGACTGAGTAATGGCAATGGGACATAAAACCTTAACTGACCTTACCACATTCTTTTCTAATCTGAAAACCCTCATGCATTTTTAGCATAACATATCGCCAATGCACACATTTTTCCCAAGGAATGAACTGCATCTACTCTGCATAGAACAGTATCTCTCCCACTGGCACAACAGTACTATTACATGTCATTATGTTCTTGAAAGGAAAACACAGCAGTTATTGCTCAGCAAGATTCTTTTTCCTGACACCTGCAGTATCAAGTAACACAAAGTGAATGATTAGTGTCCTCGAACAAAGTGTGCTTACAATGAGGTATAGTTCCGGTTGATTGCATTTAGTTAAAGAGAATTTATGATCTGCATTTCTGTAGATGTCTTTTATATCAACACCAAACATGCATTTAAGGAAGAAAATATAAGTAAAATGCAAAAGCCTGTATAAAAAAATCAAAGTGCAAGGACAAGTGCACTTAAGGAATGCTTAATGGGCCCTTTTTCAGTGCTGTATTACTTTAGAATATATTACCAAATTGTTCTCTTTTAGTAATAGTTAAACACAAGTGGACATTTCTAATTAAAATCACGCTAAAACATCAATCAGCATGGATTTGAAACAAATGAAGTTTTTTAAATGCCTATAGATCCGGAAAAGTCATATCAAACCCATTTTGAGTTTCAATCGTTTATTTAAATCAAGGGGAGGAGGCATTTAAATCTTAAATCAGACACTTGAACAATCTGATGGTGGATCATTGACAGGCACATTTGCCGAATGATACTTCTTGCGCTATTTTACCCGAGAAAAAAATTGAATGAAGTTGTATAGATGCCTGTATCCATAGTGATCAAACTATGAAATTGGTACGCTTGCATTTGAAATAATGCAGTAAGTATTAACATTAGTTCCTTTATATTTTAAAATGAAAAAAGGTGTATTTGGGTGGCTTTCAATACTGGTACCATTGTCTTGCTTGAATGTTAAAAATGTTTGACACTTTTATTTATGATGACATTTTAACGACACTAAACTCTCTTAACCCTTCTGTGTTCCTAACCCTCCCGTTTTCCTAAAACCAAATACATGTACATACAAACTTCTCTATGCGGCATGACTTTGATATAATGATACAAAACGTGGCTATGCTTTACAGTGAGCATCTTTGAGGAATGTTTACCTGGGTAGAACTCACGTGACTACCGGTATTTTAAATAATTTATTCCATGGGTGGGTTCAACATAGCTAGATCATACAGGTAAATCTAAGCTCTTACTTGCTATAGGAAAAACATTGAACTTTTCATACATTTTTTTAATATTTTAAGTACAAGCCTAATCTTGTACAAATTTCCTACTTTCACACAAGTTTTATAAATGTATAATGCGTTTTTTGTCAATCACACAAGTTTGTACAACGTTAGGCTGACAATAAACAAAAGCTTTGAAATGAATGACTGTCCTCGATTTACTATAGAAAATCACGAATGTTGGCTGACCCCTACTACATTGTATGGCTTTGCTCTTTGTATATTCATGAATTTCAGCAATAAAATTTGTTGAATTTAGGGTTTAGATATCAATTAATGATCTGAGATGGAAAATTAAGCTTAATTTGATTCTTCATTTTTTCACATTTTACCGGGGCCCATAAGTGCACTCGTTCTTTAGTGTTTATACAGGTAAAAAGTTTGAAAAAATAAAAATGTGCCAACAAATGGATTCGAACCAGGACACTAAAAATGTTCATGGTGAGAGTCTGCGGTCTACCATTCTGATCTATGCTGACTATGAGGACATTTGTAATAAATATAAACCAGTAAGATAGAAATAGGTTTTCACGTTTTTTGTAGTTTTTTTTTTTTATATAAATCTAAAGCAGGGGTACGTGCCCCTAAAAAAACCTTGTTTTAAATAATTGCTTAAATCAAAATCTATCAAAATTTCATAATTTAATTTAGGGGCAGGCAAAGGGTGATTATATTGCATCTATCGGGTATAAATTTTCTTATCAGAAAATTGTAGAGATATGCAAGGTTAATTAATGACAACATTTATTTTTCCTTTTTGCCTAATACTTTTATGATTTTCACTAATAAATTGATGATTGAAAAAAGCCTTTAATGTGACTGCTGATTTTATCTCCATCTGTTAATTTTTAACACCTTTTCTCGTGATTATAGGAGATAGAGAACAGATTATGATTTCTAACATTTACTGTTACAGATCATTTCCTTGAGATAGGTGGAACCAACAGTCAAATCCAGACACCTTTAAGAAAAGTAAAAATCTGACTCAGGTAAAAAAAAAATCATTTACAGTTTTATCAATTAGTAATTTTTACCTTAATTAACTGGACAAATCTCATTTGACGATATACAGGTCAAGAATGAAGAGTTTAAAGCCTAGTAGGGATTTTGGTCAATCATAACAGGTAATATGCAGCCCCTATTGGGAATTTTACACTCATATGGAGACGCCACCACTTGCCAGTGGAAAGCTGCAAATTCTGTCCTATACTCTGCACTCACAGCCATTGAGCAGTGAGGGTCCTTTTTCATGCCAGCACCTACTGCGACATGGGACCTCAGTTTATAAGGTCTCATCCGAAGGACTGGTGTCCACATCCCACAGTGGGATTCAAACCTGTGATGTAAGGATCAATTCCTTACTTCGTGACTCTAGAGCAGACGCTTTAACCATGGCGCCACGCTTGTGACTAGCTCAGTTTTAAAGAAATCATTCAAGATATTTTTTATCAAACTTAATATGCTGTAAGATTAGTAAGACCTATTCAACTATTTCAAAAATTTTTGACCTTTCCTGTGACCTTGACCTCACTTTCCTTTAATTTGCATCTTGCATGGTTTTAAACCATTTAAGATATTGTTATCTAAGGCTATGCATCTATACATAATTTGGTGAGAACTTATCATCTATTCATTTTTTTTAAAATTTTTATTTCAATTTTAAAGAAACTTTTCAAGATATTCTCATCAAACTTCATATACTAACACAAAATTTCATGTTGCATTACTATACACTCGGCGGGGCATTCATGGCCTATGGACATATTTCTAGTGTAATTTGCTATTTCTGTTGTTTGTTTACTTTCGGTCAGTAAGTGCCCCCAAAGGGCAAGCCCCAGTCCTAATTTCTTTTCCAGGGTTGCAACAGCGCCCCCTAGAAAAACAAGTTGCACCATCCAATCAAATCTTGTTTTGTGCTGCTTTATGCCAATGAAATTAAGGCTGGACAGCATATGTATTATATTCTGACCAATGGGGTTGCCGTATTTTCAAATAATTAGGATAGACTTACCACTTCAGCATTCCTTTCATCACTGAAGTGATATGCATGCTCAAAAATTGACTAAGTTTCATTTTTGTGTCAACTGCAGAGCAGAACGACACTTAGAGATCACTTTACCTGGTGTCTGTCTGTCCGTCTGTCACACCTTATATCTCCAAAATTTTTAGAGGCAGGGTTTTGATAATTAGCATTTATATATGTTTTTGAGCTCATGATACTATACTTTGAAACTGTATGAAATTCAGTTACCACAAACTTATTTAAATACTATGAAAATACATTGGGATCAGTATTCTACAATGAATCGTGTTGACTGACAAAGTGACAAAGTAAAGACAGTCTGAAATCTCTTTCCTCCGAGGATTGTTGGAAGCACCTACATGTGTATTAATAAAATGATAAATAGTTATTCCTCATAATTTCAATTAAATTATTCATTTGAGGACTGGGGAACCATATTTTCTTTGATTGCCAGATTCTATCCCAGTCTTTTACTTTTGGATCCTTTTTTTTCCTTGCAGGCAAATGCATGAACCTCCATGCTAATATTAAATTAATAGCTGACCACTCTTAGATTTATTTACCTCTTTAATGAAGATACCTAGCAGGCGACATATACATTCCTTGAAGCACTCTAGTTCCTATTTGATTTTCACTAATATAATGATTATTGAAAAAAGACTAAGGTGCTCTATAGTGATCAGTCTATTCATTCATCTGTCTGTCAAATACACATATCCCTTGTTCAGAATACAGGTGACTCTAAATACTTTAAACTTTATATTTTTTAATAAGGTACATGTAGCTGCTTTGGAACATCTGAAAGGTCTATTACATTATCGCTAGTTTTACTAGTTTTCTTCATGTAAGTTGAATATATTTCAAACTTTTAAATTTTTATTTTTGCCAGGTAAGAAAGAAATTCAGGAGTTCTTAAATTGCCCTCAGAGTTCTTGGATTGCATCAAACTGCTAAAAGACCTCAACAAAAACAGTGTCTTGAAAAAAAAATGAAAATATTCAGTGAAAAAAAAATTATGAGAGAAAAAGCCACTAAAAATCTTCAAGCCTTTGAGCTGAAATCTGGAAGTCAATCTGTGGACTTTACTGGTATGTCTTACTAATTAAGTCATCATTTGTGTATAATAAATACACTAAACTGTAAACACTTGTTAAAATGTATATAATCTTTAGATATAATTTGTAGCTCACAGACATCAATAGTTTCATGTAATTTAAGTAATAATGAAAATTTCCTGTTGTCTGGCTAGATTAGAAACTATATATTATTGTCCAATTTTGGATATTGTGAAATAATTCATTTAGTAAAATTGGGTATGCATACATGTGTGTACACTTACATGTAAATTAATTGTTAAAGCAAATTTAATCTATCATTAAGTTGAATGTTGACTAATGTTTTTCATCAAAATTGTTTACACTGAATTGTTTGTGGATTTTTCCATTTGCCCAATCATGTCAAGGAGCACATGGCAGAAAATGCTTTCTCCTCCATTGCACTTGGTGTTTTTAGAGGTCTGTGTTTGCTCTGCTCCAATTTTGTATTGTTTCAATGGACTTTAAAGCTTGATCACTTTTGGTAATCTTCATATTTTATATACTATTAGAGTACTTGAAGAGAACTGTAAAGATTTAACATACAGTATAATGCATGTATATTGCACTTTAAGTAGAGTGTATGTGGTTTAGAAATGTAATTCATCTCATAGTGCATTGAATTTGTTGAAAATTAGAAACTTTGTTGAAATTGTTTTAGAATAATGTTAGATTGCAGATTTTTTTAAATCATGCAAGTAAGATATTGCTAAATATTCTTAAGCTTTTCTGGACAGTCTAGATGAGTTCTTGCTATATACAGTCCCTGAAACGTTCTACTTTCCCACTTGCACGGTGAGCGAACGCTGAACGAACGCTGAACGAACGCAGAGCGAACGGTGAGTGAACGATGTGTGAACGCTGAACGCAACTTGGTGAACGATGTGTGAACGCTGAACGGTGAGCGAACGCAGAACGCGAACGGAGCGCAAACGCGAACGCAAAGTGAAAGCTGAACGAACGGTGAACGCAAGATGAACGATATATTCGGAATGCCTCTGATATTTTCCTTGCATTGAAACTATTTTATTGTATTATAATGTCAGTTGCCAAAAAAAAAATAAATAAATAAATAATAAATAAGTAAACCAATAAATGAATGAATAAATAAGTCAATAAAATAAATTCTCCAAAATTGTCGTAAGAAAGACGATGCATGCACATCAAGTTTTTAATCACATGATTTTTATCGCATTAAAACATTGCAATTGTTGCCGAATGCTGAAGTATAAACAAATCAGAGAAAACTTCTGACTTATAGAATGAATTAAAGCGATTGTAACATCTATTCATATATCTCCGTGTCAGGGCGATTTCGTGTAAAGTAATGAAAAAAAATTAATTACAAAGGTCAGTGGACGTTTTGCATTTATACGCTCGTATTTTAAATTTTTAATACAATAATATATTATGTGTCATTCCTATTTTTCATGATGATTTATTCAGCAGACTTCTACATGTATATGCAGATGGCCGTGGTTATACTCGGACAAGATAATACAAAGATACATATTCATATTATTTGTTATAAATTCAATTTTCAGAACTTGATATTTATGTAATATGTTGTTATAGTTTTTATTAAACAGACAAATGAGAGAGAGAGAGAGAGAGAGAGAGAGAGTTTTCGTTTTAGCCCCCCCCCCTTCAGGCTTCACTAAATGTTTGTACCTTTATCAAACAAAACCTCTGAAAATTTTTTTCTAAATATATCAGACATGCAGTGAAAGTAACTTTTTTTTTTATCAACAAATCATATCTATTTGTTTGACAGTCATACTCGTTTTTATTTTCCTGCTTCAAGTCCACACGAAATCCACGTGCTTGTCCTGTCAATCAAAATCATTCGACACTGTGCAGGTGTGAAAGTTTCGTCACATCGAAGACGAAGTGCGAGTATTTCCAACAAGTTATAACATTTATTTTTATCATTTCTAGATTTGATCCAAACATTTGAATAATAAATGAATAAAATACATTGGGCATTAACACTTGAATCTGAAACTTCCTGCCAATTTCAAATACCACTGCCGACACGTGTACATTTTGAGCTACTATTGTTTTGTGACTTTTTTTAGTACTAGTTTGTTTTGAGACTGAAATTTTTGTTCTAAAAAAGACCTTAACTTTTTTTTTAAAAATGTTAATTAAAATATTCTGGAAATACAGTACTGACTAAGTAACCAATCTAGGAGGGAAAGGGGGGTGGGTGGGTGGGTGGATTTTAATCATATCGAATGACAAACATATAAAGTTACGGTGAAGAAAGATTTTTTTTTTCTCTATAACTATAGACTTTACATATTATAGTAGAGAAAATTCTGCAGTGCAGTACATTTCAAATAAATATTTCCTTTAACCACACTATCAATTTAATTCGCTCCAAAGATAATAAATTAACAGGATATCCGCAGTACTATGTATAACTCTCACAACTAGTTCTATCATATTTTCTGTAGTAATTGAAAAAAACGTGTTAGAAATAAATATTTTCGTAATTTTGCTGCGTATAATTATTTGACTTAGATACATATGTAATTATATCACCATTAACGAATTGTCGTCTTTAACAAAAAAACAAAATGTTGCAGTGCTTGAATTATTTGCACATTGCCCTTAGTTATATTTAATATTTCAGCATCGTTCTACATAGGTACAGAATGTGCTTATAACAACATTTATTTTCCAAAGTAATTTAATAAATAACCTAACAGCTAAGTTAGAATAATAAAAATATATATCGTAGATATTTTTCAACATGAAATAATGATTCTTCAAACACGATACGTTAGTTATTAAATTAAAAAACCTGTAACTCCTTCCCTACAAAAAGATAAGTCCTTTCACTTCGGAGTTCCGAATGACAATGAAAACTGAACGATAGGTGAACGCTGAACGCAAGGTGAACGCAATGTGAACGGAACGAAGAGCGAACGGTGAACGCTTTGTGAACGGTGAACGCGAGCGCACGGTGAACGGTGAACGCAAAACTGTGAGCGGAGAGCGAACGGTGAACGCACGGTGAACGAACGGTGAACGCACGCTGAACGAACGGTGAGCGAACGGAAAAATGGGAAAGTAGAACGTTTCAGGGACTGTACCTAGCATTGTCATCCCAGTTGAAATTTAAGGAGCAAGGTTTATTCCTAAGCTCTAACTGGACAAACTTGCATGGATTAAAGCACATTAACAGATTTACTTCAGATGCTTGACCTGATCAACATTTTCTTCATGTGTTTTTTGTTTTTGTTTGTTTGTTGTTTAACATCCCTCTCAAGAATTTTTCATCCATATGGAGATGCCACTACTTACTGGTGGAGAGCTGCAAAATTTGACCTATACTTAGCACTCAGGGTCATTGAGCAATAAGGGATCTTTTTTGTGCCCACATCAACTGCGAGGTGGGACCTCGGTTTATACGGTCGAATCTGAAGGACTGGTCCCCACATCCCCAGTGGATCTGAACCTGAGACTTAAGGATTAAATCCTTACTTGCGACTCTAGATTACACACTCTAGCCTTTGCGCCACATGGGGGACTCCACAAGAGTAAGTGTTTTGAGCAGTCCTATTCTCATGTAATTATAAACTGTATGTTGAACAAACCTGCAAAGATGATGTATGTTAATGTTTCAGGGTACCAATCCTTGATTTGACTTAGATTTTCTGGATTAATGACCAGTTTTTTAGAGAAGGTTCATTCAAAGTAACAATATACTCTTTGGTGATCAGTAAACATAGATGATGCATCCTGCTTCTGATGCTGGATGTAACATACATTTTCAGGGTTATTGAGCAGTTAAATCTAACCCAGAACAACTTGCATAGATTTTGGATTCAGGTGATATATATTACCAGAGTGTTTGTTGAGTGAGACTTTGCCTTACTAGTGGATAACATACTACCATACATTTTATATAATAGATGTAGCTGTTGTTCAACTGAATATGATAAAACTGTGGATGAAAATAATTTGATTTTTGTACCTTTGAATGTATTGAATTAATTTGTAAAAGCTGTTATGATACAAAGTTTGATATTTTATCAAAGTTTTTAGCATATGCAATCAATAAATGTATCAACATTTTTATTTTATTATACTTTTTACCCTGCAAACTTCTTAAAAACAAAATAGTAATGATCCATTCAACTGATACTAGGTTAGTGTCACACTGTACTTGTATATCATGTATATTGAACTGTAAATGAGAAACATCTAAATATGTCAAATCACAGCATGAATCATTGGATTATGTAAGAAGTGCACTATCTTGTGCTTTGGTATGGTATTAATAATAAATGTTAAACTATCATTTTTATTCAAATTAACAAAGGATATGCTTGAGTGACTGTATTTTGACTAGCAGTAAAAATAAAATGATTTTGAAGCATTTGAATTATTTTGATTCATGGTCTCTGCAAGTTTAATGATAGCAAATATGTATATTGAACATGGCATCTACATATTGCTATACTGGATCTTAATCACAACATTGAAATTTTATGTAGTACATGTACTCTTGGTTTCAACTGGTCAAACATATTCTTAAATCACAAAGAATTTAAACAAATATAGGTATGATTCAGAACTTCATCAATTAGTTGGAAAGTGAATGCACTCAATGACTATATGGTTTAAAAGAAGCTGGGTATAAATAGCAGGAAAAACTACTTGATTTCCACTGTGAACTTTGTGTCCTCAACAAAACAATATGGAGTATACTATACTTGGTCTAAAGAATAAGTCTAATCTATGTCTGCATGTCTATGTCTGCATTCACTTTCAGGTTAAACTGTATTGGACATTGAGAGTTTGTTTGTTGTTTAACGTCCCTCTCGAGAATTTTTCACTCATATGGAGACGCCATCACTTGCCGGTGGAGAGCTGCAAATGACCTATGCTCGGCACACAGGGCCAATGAGCAGTGAAGGATCTTTTTCATGCCAGTATCTACTGTGACACTGGACCTTGGTTTGTACGAAGGACCGGTCTCCACGTCCCACAGTGGGATTCAAACATGTGACATAAGGATCAACTCCTAACACGGCAACTCTAGAGCATAGGCTCTTACCACTGCAACATGTGGGCGACAGCATTGAGAGTTAATTGTGGATATCAGAACAAGCTACTCTGGGCTTATACTCTCTATATATTGATTGATTGATTGATTGTATGTTGTTTAGCGTCCCTCTTGGGATTTTTTCACTCATATGGAGACGCCACCACATGCCAGTGGAAAGCTGCAAATTTTGTCCTATACTCAGCACTTAAAGCCATTGAGCAGTGAAGGGATTTTTTCGTGCCAGCACCTACTGTGACACGGGACCTCGATTTATGCGGTCTCATCCGAAGGATCGGTCTCCCCAGCCAACTGTGGGATTTGAACCTGCGATGTAAGGATCAACTCCTTACTTCTCTACTCTAGAGCAGACGCTCTAACCACTGCGCCAGGGGGGCAACTACTCTCTATATAAGTCACTTGTGCAATGACTTTAGTTTTATATTCAAGATTTTGTACTGATCATGTTGAGTCACATTAACACAAATATCTTTCTGCTGAGCTTGACCAATGACCATCCGCAACTATTCTGGTTGGAAACAATATGTTAATTAATCCATAATCAGTGAAATTACTATGAAAGAAAAATGGTCTACTTAAACCACAAGTTATATGTATAAAAGTATACACTGGTCTCCTTAAGTCATATGAGAGAAACATAAAATATTAGGGAGACCATTTTTTTCATATATTTTTAGGAGGCATTTATAATGAAAAAATAAAGCAAGAGTCGACTAAATGGTGTTCTATAGAACATTGATCTGGTATTTCTTTTTAGAAAAAAGCAAATTTAAAAAATCTGTATATTGTCTCCTTAAGCCATATATAATGGTCTGGTCTCCCTAGTCCTTAAATCAGAGTTATATATATATATATATATATATATATATATATATAGTTCAAAGTATGTACACCTGAAGAACGATTGTTAAATCCAGAAAGCGCTTGTGTTAAATGAAATTTGGAAACTGTGCATTTTCTTTTTCTTTTATGATTATTTTCACTGTGTGACATCATCTTTTAACTACTTTTGAATTATATATATATATATATATATATATATATATATATATATATATATATATATATATATATATATATATGAAAAAAAATCCTCAAAAATATTCTTCTAATAACAGCAAGGCCATTATTAGTCATATTTATATGGAACCATCCACAGGTAGTTTAAATTCAAGTTTGTTCAAATCTTGAACCTTTGGGGTAGGATTGGGCCACAATTGGGAATCAAAGTTTTACATAGGAATATGTAGGAAAAAAATTTCTTCTCCAGAACAGCAAAACCATGTTTAGTTATATTGATATGGAAGCATCTTCAGATATTGTACATTCAAGTTTGTTCAAATCATGACCCTCCGGGGGGTAGGGGGTAGGGTTGGGCCATAATTGGGGATCAATGTTTTACTTAGGAATATATAGGGACATTTTTTTTTCTCAAGAACAGCAAAGCCATGTTTAGTTATATTGATATGGAAACAAACTTGGGTATTGTAGGTTTAAGTTTGTTCAAATCATGACCCCCTGGGGTAGGGTGGGCCACAATGCACTATCATAGTGTCTAGGAAAAAAAATCTAACAGTGTCATTTGTGCCCCTTTTGACACTAGAACCCATTAGGAGCGCAAATCTTTTTGTCAAGATCAGAAAAGTCATGTTTAGTTACATTGATATGGAAGTATCTTGAGGTAGTGTACATTAAAGGTTACTCAAATCATGACCCGGGGGGGGGGGGGGCTACAATAATAAAAAGCATGATACCTGAGGGTAGGTTGGGGTCATAATAGATTTAAAAAATTGACATAGGAATATATAATAGAAAAAATCTGTTGAAGAACAGCAGGGCCATATTAATTCAGGTGAGCGGTGTGGCCCATGGGCCTCCAATCAAGATAGGAACTTATTTTGGAGATCAGTTATGCATATACCAGAGATTTGTATATTACTTGGATCTTAATTTTTTTTTAAATTTATGAGATTGAGAACAATTTTTTTATTGCTTGCAAATATTACACAAAATTAGCCTTTTTGATAAAGTAATTGAACTTGTTGTTTTGCGTTAAAAACATTCAACGCAAGTCGTCTTTTCTTTTCTTTTTTCCACCTATCTTCAGATATACCAAAGAAAAATACATGGGAAAACGTGAAAGGATGCCATATAATTACCCAACATTGATGGATATGACAGGATTTCAGAATGACGAGAATGTGAATTCAGTACTAAAGTTGATCTTTCACGGCCAGATTAAGGACGGATCTAAATTAAATTTTCAAACAAAGAGTCAACAGTATGTAAAAAATATACTTATGGGGAAAAGAATTTTGTATAAAACAAGTGCTTGTCTCAGATAAAAACATGCAAATTGTCCACAGACACATTCCAGCTAAAACATTAATTTTGCACAATAAAAAACATACTAGGCATGGACGACAATTTAAATTATAGATACTTGATTTACATAGATATATTTTCTGAGAGCTTACCAACAAAATTGTTTATCTTTGACGTTAAATGTTAAGGAGACACCATACAAATTTTGTTGTTGTTGTTTTTTTTTTTAATTTGTTTATTCTTATTAACGGTTTATGTTGTTTGTTTTTTTTAGATTTGCTTTTTATAAGCAACAATACTTTGTCCAGTTAAATGTTGAGTAATTACTAATTATATTTCGTTCATCTAAGTTATGGATATTTAAAGCCATTTTCCAAGCAGATCTGACTCTTATTGCATTAGCATATACATGTATTAATATAAATAAAATGCGCCTGTATAAATAAAATACAATACTCATATGAAATGTTTGGACTCCTCTGTGGATTTCTTTACTTTGACCAGGTTTTATCTGAGACAAGCACATAAGAAAAAATGTAAATAAACAGATTATCTTGCTTTACTGCATAAAAACAACAATTAAAAAAAATCTTTGTTAAAAATTTTTACTTTATATGAACTGAATTAGTCATATGAAATACATTTTTGTAAAAGATATAAATTGACAGTGTAGGCAGATTAATTTGCAAAGAAATAAGACAATTATAATATAATAATTATTGTAATTAAGTTTGCTCATTACTTTGAAGAAACATACCAGAAGTGTTGCAGCAATTGAACTACGGAGACGAGGGTCATGCAAAAGTAGACAGAATAATTTTTGTTGCTTCTGCAAAATCCAAAGAATTTCCCGCTGAACTCATCAAAGCTGTTTTGTCTCAAGCTTCTGATGGAACAAGGGGTAAATATGAATAGTTTACGTCTGTTATATACAGTTTATTAGTAATAATGACCGTAAACTATGGTTTACGTCCGAAATCTAAAATTATCGAATGTAAAACATAGTTTATCTGATAAATATAGTTTCACGAATTGTGAAACTATGATTAGAAACTCTTAACTATGGTAAACGAATGTAAATTTTAGTTTACAAAGAGAATCTATATTTATCAGTAAAATTTATTGTTAACGTTTATTTACAGACAAATAAACTTAGATTAGCACGAGAATCGAACCCGACCTCCTGATCACGAAGCGAAGGCCCTACCACTCTTATCGAGAATGAGTTACAAAACCTGCGTCCGTTTTATCTCTAAGATGGGATCATCTAAAAAAAAAAGTCTGATGAAATTAAACCCACTAAATCAAAAAATTGTGTGTTTGTAATGGAAATTCAGATATGGATTATTTAAGACATGAATATTTGCAATATAAGTATTAGAGACATGTCAACATGCGACATCCAAAACATCATTATATAGATGTATATATATACTAGACTTTGACCCGTGCGTGCACGGGTTGACATTGTTATGAATGCGTCCATGTGCATATCGGACTTTTACAAAATAGATACATCGACACATTGATATTGTAAGGTACTTTTGAGATAAACAATGAATGTGAATATAATTCTGTTTTTTTTTTTTTTTTTTTTTTTTTTTTTGCAAAATTGTTGTGTAACGGCGTAGCGCAGAATGGCTTTGACCATCAGTTAGCTATAAATCAAGTCATGAGTTAGAATCACGCCGGAGCTTACATAAATTTCACCTTTCCAAACAAATTTAATAAAAGAAATTATGGATATTCATTGAAAATATGACAACAACAAAGAATTCAGCACTGCTGATACCTATAAAGCGTAGTTACCATGACAACCTTTACATATTTAGAAGAACAGGCTGTCCCTTCTGTATAACGTACTGAAGATCAATAACAATAATTTACATATTTCACCCACTTTTTTGAAAGTTAAAGAAATTTTTAGAGCTGAATTTAGATATAAACAATAAAATGCTTTCTTTGATGGTTCACGTGGGAAATGCACGGCGCAAGCATTGCAGGGGGTGTTCACCGTATTGTTGACAGACCAGGGTCAGAGGTCATTACATGTATTTACATAACAAAGCTATAAACCTACAATAATGCTATTGATTTCACTGCACTTCTAAGAAATATAATGTGAATTTTTTGCATGGAATCAAATATTTCTTTGCCCTTAGTTTATGTTTCATATTTACCGCGTTATAAATTTCAGCAGTGAAGGTAATAGTAAACATGGCGAACAAATTCAAGTTGCAATCATTTAGACACATTTCAAATTGAAAATATGGGTTATATTGACGTTATTTAATTACTTCGATTTGTTTCAAAGTTAAGAAATGAAAATAATGTTATTGTAATTTTTGGCGGAAAAAGAATGCTTATTTCACTAAGATGTGATTCTAGCTGGAGTTGTAACCCCCCCCCCCTTCCCCTCAAAAAAGCATAAAAGAAAGGAAGGATAAAATAAAATCGGGTAGTTACATTAATATTGCTCCTACGATCATGAGCTTTTTGCCCCCGTTGAGATGGCCAGAGACATAAATAACATATAATAAATGTGTCTCCGAGATGGCGAATGATTACCCACGTGGCCACAATATCACATTTGTATGGATAAACTCAGAAAGATAATACAAATACGTGTAAATTTTCATTGGAAATTTGCTATATATTCTGTTCATATATATTTATGATTTCTTATATATATTAATGATTTCTTATTTTCTTATTTCTTATTAGAGAAATTATAAAATAACAAATATAGCGAAGGCTAATTGAGAAAAAATAAAAACAAATTGGTAATCTTCAAGTACCAATTATGTTTAAAATATATATAACAAAAGACAGTACTCTTCCGATTTATCGGTATTAAAGGCCAAAAATTCGAGTCTATTATTTTAATATAGTAGTATAGATTCGTAAAGTACACCTTGCAACCGTTAAATATAGTTTACAGATGAAAACTTTAGTTAACGAATCAGTTTACAATCGATAAATCCAGTTTACCAACTGTTAAACTATGATTATCTAATTTTTGTGAATTTGGCGTGCCATAGATATGACTCATCTACCCTAGTGATGTACTGTATTGATATTATCATAATTTTACTTGATCAAGATATACCAGTATTTGGAGTTCTTACTCATGCTGATCAGATCCATGAGAAGAATGGCGAAGAATTTTCTGAATTTGAAAAAAAGTTCAGAAGAGGCCTAGGGTTGTCTCAGCTGCGATTTCTTCATTGTACTAACTACTGTGATGATCTGCCTTGGAAAAATCGGCGAAATCCCGATGTTGAAGTTCCTGTGATAAGATTCATCAGACAGGTTAGAAATAAACAGATAATAAAGAATAAATTTAAAAATTTATTTCGAAATACTTACTTCCTGTTTTTAGCTCTACTGTTAAAAGACCAGAAGAGCTTATACAGTAGTGAGGTGTCCTTTCGTCCGCCTGCATTTCCATTTCTTTGTTAGTAAACAATTTTTTTAAAAATGCTACTTCACCTATAAATAGCTTTGTCTGATTTCAATAGAACTTGCTATAGTTTTCTCCGATGTTAATTGTCCTCCTACAACACAAGTTAACTACCCTAAAACAAAACTAATTAATGGTTTTAATTTTTTTTCTAACGATGTTGCCATCTTTACCGAAGATAAAAAAATACTGTGAAATTCTTTCAAAATTCTACTTTTCAGTTTTTGTCTGGTTTCAATCAAACATGGAATACAAAAAAAAAGACTTCATCAAAATAAAGAAATCGATGTATCATTTAATCTAGATGCGCGGTGTTGTTGTGATAACTATAAATAAAAGGTTGATTTCAAAACACTATCTATCCTACAATTTGGTTTCATTTCAATAAGGTAAGAAAATACTAAGATACTCGATCAGTACCTAATTATGTAAATGTGAAAATAAAAAAAAAATGTTTAAAGTCTAGTCTTCTTCAATATTTTAAACCAGTATACTGAGTTGCTTCAGACTCGGATAAAATTCCTTCATTTTATGTACGTTTATAGGGATCTATTTCAAACTTATCTGCTGATCAAATACTTGAATTTAAATGCTGAAACGTTTGAAAAACGTTTCAAAATGTTTTTGTTTTTTTTATCTTTTTAACTGTATTTTGATGCATAAATTTTAGGTAATAGATCCTGCACGAGAAGTTTATGAGGAAAGTACACCTCTTGGACAAGCATTTGAAAAACTGAAAAATACAAAACTCAAAACTGCAGTGCTATATTTCGCCCAGTGTGTTTTCATTTTAATGTACCTCTGGTGGCTTATGCTTCCAATATCAGGGATTCATACCGCATGCGAGAGCTATAAACATGAGAACCACAAATTATCCAGCATTGATAATCTTTGCAAATTGAGCTCCGATGGAAATATTATTCAAAAACCCTCTGTATATTTTCTTTTTGGTATATTTGGTTTCATTTTTTTCGGAACGAGATCGATTCTAGAAATTTTTTTAAGATATAACACCGAATTCAATTTGTTTCTTAACCAAACTTTTGGCATGATTTACAGAAAAACTATCAGAGCAAATTAAATACATGAATTAAAATGGAAACACATAAACAATAAAATGCTTTCTTAGGTTGTTTGTATGGGAATTGATGTTGCAGCTGTTGCAGAAAAAAATGCATAACCTGCGTGAGCGGGTTATATATTTTTTTTGCAATAGCAGCAACGTTAATTCCCATACTAACATAGAAATAAAGACATTTTATTGTTTATATTTATATTTTTTTTTTGGTACAAATAATAATTTAAAATAGATTTAAGTAGATTAAATATTGTATAATTGGTCATTGTATGTTTCATTGATGGAAGAGCCACTGCTCAAGAAATTGCAGGTGTTATGCTTAATGATGTTTACTGACTGATAAACCACAATGGTTTTCTTAAGAAATTAAGGAGAAAATATTCAGTGGATGTAAAATATTTTTGATTATCAGTAGTTGTACTATATAATTAATGTAGCTGTATGAACATATTTGTAATATTCCAAGTAGCATATATAAAGTCTTTTTATGAATAGATCTTTATCTTTTCATCCATGCAGCAACGGACTTCATGTGACTTTCTGTTCACTGTAGTACTGTTCTTGTATACACACTGGTTGTCTGCGTTGAAATGGCAAACACGCAGATGAATGCTGTGTGAGTGAAATAGGAAAAATGTATCATAAAATAATTCTGAATTTATCATCAGTAATTTTAGATGATTGATATTGACGTGAATGTAATTTTGTTTATATATTTTATAGACGAAAAAGAAGAACTGTACATATATAGAGTTTAGTAGCTAAGTTGTTGTGCTATATTTTTCTGTTTTCATCTTTTTGTTTTTAATGACTTTTAAAATTTATGTCCTGTAGAAGGTCGTCCAGAAAATTTGACAATTTTTAATTGTTTGTGCCGTTAGTCATTTTTAGTGTTTATATATATATATATATATATATATATATATATATATATATATATATATATATATATATATATATATATATATAAGCTTTGTTCAGATTTCAGTAAAACTTTTTACACAAGTAGATTACATTAAGAAACAACTTTATTTATTAAAATTATACATCAGTAAAGCTTCAGCCTCGTCAAAGATTTTAATTTTAAATATCTTGTTACAAGACAAACATTGTGCATGCTTTACATCACTGCTAAACCACTCATGATAGAAAGATACTGTCATTATTTTGTCATTATTGCTATTTTTGATAACCTTGATTTGTTTTCAATAAATAAGTCACCCTTGTATTTCAGAAAACTCATATGCCAAGCTATATATGCTAAATATTAGTCCCCTATCTCATATATCTAAAGACTGAGACAGACGGGCACAAACAGATAGACCTCGGGGGTATTGGTTCTGTTATGTAGACTACAATAAAACATTGCTTGAATAAATTAAACATTTGAAAATGGATGAAAATAATATGATTACATTTCGATGTAACTTTGGTATTGAAGTATGAAAAGTTATGTAGGTTACAACTTAAGTATTTAAGATCATCAACTGTACATAGATCTTTATATTGCTTAGAAGGTAAATAATGAATTCAATAAATTTGATTAAGCAGTTTATGTGTGTTACATCCGTTATTTTTTAATTATTGCTGTATATGAGGCAAAAAAAATACTACTTTAGGGTGTTAATGAAATGCGAAGATAATGAACAGCAATCATGCTCAAAAATCTAATTAAACAATACAAATTGTGAGTAGAGTTAACAAAGGCCTCTAAGAACATCAGAAGTAGTGTGAGCAGAGTTAACAAAGGCTTAAACAATACAAATTGTGAGTAGAGTTAACAAAGGCCTCTAAGAACATCAGAAGTAGTGTGAGCAGAGTTAACAAAGGCTTAAACAATACAAATTGTGAGTAGAGTTAACAAAGGCCTCTAAGAACATCAGAAGTAGTGTGAGCAGAGTTAACAAAGGCTTAAACAATACAAATTGTGAGTAGAGTAAACAAAGGCTTAAACAATACAAATTGTGAGCAGAGTTAACAAAGGCTTAAACAATACAAATTGTGAGTAGAGTAAACAAAGGCTTAAACAATACAAATTGTGAGTAGAGTAAACAAAGGCTTAAACAATACAAATTGTGAGTAGAGTAAACAAAGGCTTAAACAATACAAATTGTGGGTAGAGTAAACAAAGGCTTAAACAATACAAATTGTGAGTAGAGTAAACAAAGGCTTAAACAATACAAATTGTGAGTAGAGTAAACAAAGGCTTAAACAATACAAATTGTGAGTAGAGTAAACAAAGGCTTAAACAATACAAATTGTGAGTAGAGTAAACAAAGGCTTAAACAATACAAATTGTGAGTAGAGTAAACAAAGGCTTAAACAATACAAATTGTGGGTAGAGTAAACAAAGGCTTAAACAATACAAATTGTGAGTAGAGTAAACAAAGGCTTAAACAATACAAATTGTGAGTAGAGTAAACAAAGGCTTAAACAATACAAATTGTGGGTAGAGTAAACAAAGGCTTAAACAATACAAATTGTGAGTAGAGTAAACAAAGGCTTAAACAATACAAATTGTGAGTAGAGTAAACAAAGGCTTAAACAATACAAATTGTGAGTAGAGTAAACAAAGGCTTAAACAATACAAATTGTGAGTAGAGTAAACAAAGGCTTAAACAATACAAATTGTGAGTAGAGTAAACAAAGGCTTAAACAATACAAATTGTGAGTAGAGTAAACAAAGGCTTAAACAATACAAATTGTGAGTAGAGTAAACAAAGGCTTAAACAATACAAATTGTGAGTAGAGTTAACAAAGGCTTAAACAATACAAATTGTGAGCAGAGTAAACAAAGGCCTCTGAGAACATCAGACGTAGGATTATGGTGCCATTGAAGAGTAAGAATCTCCTGTCTATAAGTCACACCCGCTGTTTGCTCCTTGTCCTGAGCGGGTGAATGATCCGTAGACAATTCAGTCTGAAAATAATAGCCTTATAATTTATAAGAGGAATGTCAGTTTACATTCGACCTAATATCAGATTGTTTTTGCAAACAAAGACCCTGTGTAGACCCCAGGGTTTGCAAAATGTTGACTTTCGTTGGATTTTTGATAGCCTTGTATAATTATTTTATTTGTCAGTGACAGGTTCCGTCCTAGAAAACTGTATGTAGAACATGTTCTTGGTTATTGAATCAATTGGGAGACATAAACCCCAGGAGGTGATGATGGTATATTGCTATATAAGTATGGGAAGTTGACGATGGAAAAGTTGAAATCATCACGTTTATAATAAAGCTTGTTGTTCAGTGTCTTTGCCAGTTAGACATCCAAATATGAAACATCTGTCAGACTCATGTTTTTTTGTAGGATTATGAATGAAATATAAATGCCATTTTCATTGCACATCTATAGGACACCAGAAATCATATTCTAAAACAAGATAAGATGATTTGAATAGTGTAAAATGTAAGTGGAATTCTGGAAAACATGGTTTTTGCAGAAATACGATGTTTTCATCCCTAATTGGTCTTTGTATAAAAACAAAATTTCTGAACTCATATTCGCACTATTCAGGATACCACACTTGGCTTATGCGTAAAATTTAAGAATAGTTATTGGAATCAGGTTTTTGTAGAAAAACGGGAGATTTGCAACCATCCTTTGATCCCGGGTGAAAATGAAATCTCTGAAACCTTATTGCACATGTTCAGGACACAAAATCAGATTCCAAAAAGAAGAATTGGCTACTGCCTAAAATGTAAGGGGACTTTGGGGAAGAAGATAATTTGACAAACGGGCAGAGAGACCGGGAAAACAACAATATACCAAACTTTCTTTTGAAAATTCGGGTAAAATAAAAATGAATAATAGAAATCGAATTTTTCTCAAATTGTTCTTTTGTCAACAGAATTTCAGTGACTGCTTTTTAATTAGAGTGTTTCAAGGAACGTCTTACTTTATAGCATCATTAAAGATTTATAAAAACTAAAGGTGGTCAATTATTTATTTTGCTACTAGCATTATAGCAAAGAACATTTTAACAAAGAAAAAAATCCACAAATAGTAAGACCGTTAGAATAACATTTATCATATAAAGTCTGATAACCAATAAAAATAATTTCCCAACCCTCAAGTAAGTGAATATTGAAATTCTTATTTAAAAATTATTATTAATCATTTTAGAAAAAAAACTATTAGCTTTTCTTTACTGTAATTATCAATCTACAGCAATCCTTTTGGTTTAATGATCCTGATATATTTTCATAGCATTTTTTCAGTTTGTGTGGTAAGTGTATAGTATATGATTTCAAAGTATAGTGTTATGAGTTCATAAACTTGTGATACGAATGCTAGTTATCAAAACCTTGCCTCTCAAAAAAAAAAAAAAAAAAAAAAAAAAAAAAAAAAAAAAAAAAAAAAAAACAGAAGTTAAATTAATCATCCGGAGTATTTTTGCAAAAAAGGTTAAGGTCAAGTGGATTGTACGCTGTTTTTTTAAATATGTTTTATGGCAAACAGTGCACATGCTAAACAGCATAGACTTATCTCGTAAATGCTGTATATCGACACATTGAACTATTTACTTAGACAGACAAACACCGGGTGAAGTGATTTACTCTGCAGGCGACACAAAACTAGAGTAGATGCTGTTATAAGACACATTTACCCAAATTTTCGTCCTGGAGGCCAATTTGGGCATATATTATTTTTAACATAGAAAGTTTCTTTCCAAAACTCTTTAAACAGAATTTATGTCTCATGAAATTCTTTTCTCTCAGATTGTAACGAATCAATTGTATAAATACTAACAAAAGAGGCCCATGGGCCACATGCTTACCTAATCCTTTTATGCTGCCTTTTCTTTGTGTTATTATCATGTATCTTCATGTAATTAAATCTTCACTTGTAACTTATCTAAAGGGAAATACTTTTAAAGAGATTTTTGTCATTATGACGTTACTTCTAGGCAATTATTTTCAGTTCATATCTTTTTAACCATTCCCTTGCTTTTTTAAAAAATAATATTTGCTGTCATTTTGCTATAATCATCTTGTTTCGAGTTGTAGGAAATAAAATTATTTAAAATTTGTCCGACAGTTACTT